CACACACACACCCCCCCCCCCACACACACACACACATGCCTGGATTTTATATCCCCATGGGGAACGTGGATTGACTTCCATTCATTTTTTGACATTTTATAGCCTAACCCTGACCATTTACCCTAAATTTAACCTACAGGTACCGACCTGACCCTAAAACAAATCTAAACTCAATTCACACTATGGTCCTAAACCAAACCTCCACCCGTAATATGCATTTGTACCTGTGGGGACATGGGCATTGGTCCCCACGGGGCTGCTTTTTCAGGAAAATGGTCCCCACGATGTAGGAAAAATGCGTGCGCGCGCACACACACACACAAATTGAAAATAAAAACATGTGTGTGTGAGGGACAAGGACAGAAAATGTAAAAAAAGAAAAACAAATGTATAAATGTCCAGAAAAAAAGTCCACTGCATAGGAAATATGGCTGCAGCTTTTCAGTGAACAAACACAATTAATTTAAATGTTGTGTGATAAAGATGGTAACAAATGTATTTGTTTAACTTGACACCAAGACTATGGGATACTTTTTAATTTTCTCCACTGTGTGAGGTGGGCGATAATTCAATAACATTTATCTGTTGGCAAAAAAATCTTAAGAACCACGGGACTTTTACAAAAAGCTTCTTAGCTTAGCTTTCTTCACGGTCGCACTGGTGCACTGCATACATCACGGACAAACGTTAGCGACTGGGTAAATCAGATCCAATCGTTTTAAACTTCAACTGAGTCCACGCCTYCAGCAAACAAATAGCCGAGGTTCCAGACCCTCTGTACGAAGCAAAGTGYAGAACGAGGGGCTGGGTTTTACCAGGCTAAGCTGAGAGTAACCCCCATTAAATACTCTGAGCACTTAGAGACAGTAGATTTTTGTTCAAGACTTTGGACTTAACTTCTGGGTTTGAGCCTAACKGTCTGTTAGCAAAATATCMCACAAATTACTGATTGGATTTCAATGAAACTCTCAGAAAGTAATCAATGAATATACATCTATAATTGACAATGACCACCAGAGCTAATCRAACTTAGCAAGCACAAAAAYGACTCCAGCTCAGTTCATTTTAAAGATATGGGGCTAACACTTGGTGTGGTAGAAGCTGAGATGCATCCTTATCACAYAATTGAAGAACTAACTAACAAACCACACAAGATATTAGTTTAAAACTTGGACATACCAAATCAGCACTTGATATGCATTCTCAAAAAGGAACAGTAGTTCAGTTACTATATGAATTTTAAATGTGATTAGATCATTATAGCTTATCAAAGGACTGTGATCACGTTACGTTTATTCCACAAACTTCCACAAATGTCCTCATCGGTTGGTTTACGTGGGACAAACAACAAAAAGCCTGTTAGAGATGCGTTCATGTGATTTTTAATATGAACACAAAACTTGGACAATGCGACTAAGTGACAACATTTTCTCAGGCTTATCAGCGTCACACAAAAATAATCAGTGAGCTCCAGACATGCTTTATTCCTTTCTTCTTAATGCATTCTTATGAAACCCCTCTTTGGTGTTCTCTCTGCAGCCTCAGCTCCTCCCAGGTGGTTAATGAGCTGACGCGGGGACGGGCAAATTACTAATCAGAGAGGAACAAAAACCTGCAGGACGCTGCCCCCTCAAGGATACAAAGTAAGCATTTATAGGAGGTTAARAGTAAATTCACGCCACAACAGCTTCTCTCTCCTATCGAGCTGAGAAAGTTTGCAGAACTACGGCATGGTGTTTTCAGCGCTCGAGGCGGCGCAGTCACGCTGCCCCTAAAAAATGACTGATCTTTAATGTTATTCCAGCGAAACTTAGCCGCCGTTGGCATCTCTTCTTAGTTTTAAAGCAGCATTATTGTGCTTTTTTACTTAATTAGCTTTTTCTTTTTGTTACTAAAAGTAAAAAAAAAAAAAAACAGTTTGGAAGCCTGATTGTGTGATAAAACGGGGCAGAAAAATCAGGGACGTAAAAATCTAATCATCCATAGAGTTTACATGACAGACATTAGGCTAATAGTCCTATAGACTATTAGCTTAATGTGTACTTTGGAGTAATAGAAACTGCAATATGATGTAATGTTGAAAAATCTTGAAGTGTCAAGATTTATTAGAATAGGAAAACAGATGTAGACATTTACAAAACTGTCACTTTATGCCACATTTATTCCAGTTTCATCCCTGACTTTTGTTCTAACCAAAAACAGTCACCTTATATGAGCTCCAGGTAGATGTCAATATAAAGGCAGATATAAAGAAATTTGTTTTTCCCACTTTTTATAAATGTGTGGGTATTTTACGATCTGTCTTAGTGTTGGGAGTGATAGCATGTCTTTAAATCAAGAAAAGAGGGAGTCATCAAGTCTGCACCCCAACTTCCGAAAAACTGGCTCCATTGAGCACAAGCGTATGAACGCATTAACATGATACCTTCGTAGGTTGACATACTGTACCTAAAACAAAGAAGCAGAATTCATAACCAATCATGAAAACAAAAGCTGGGTCTGTTGGAACTGCACATCTAGGTTTACTTTATTTTATCAAACCTATTCAAACACAATGAAAATTTTTCTGTATTTTACTCATTGTTGAGCTTTAGTTATCTCACTGTGTGTACTGTGAGCAGTAATAATAAAGATGGAAACAAATAAAAAACTAATCTCAAGAAAGAAATCTCAGACTCCTTTTCTGATTTCGTGTGATTGAGAGCTAATAGTTACGCCACAGGCGTGTTTTACTGGCAAAAAGTTGCTGTTTGAGGTATTTGGGATGAAAAGATTTCACTCTAATGAAAAACAAGTTTCTGATAGCTGTTCTTTGTTTTTCCCCTGTAACAGAGTGTACCTTTGTGAAGTTATTTACGAGAACAGCTCTTCTGTTTACACCGGTGTTGCCTGTGGTAATGCTTCCTACTGAGCAACAGAGGTCTCCCTCTGTACTTCGGCTTCAAAACAGACCAGGATTAAAAGCATCAAACCAGAATACACAGAACAGCAAGAATGCCTCCCTTTTATTTTTTCAACAGAACAGAGTGTTKTAGTGTTTCAGCACAAATGATGCCACCTACTTGTCCAGATGAAAGGCTGCGATCTCTGCGTTGTGTCTTTCGAAGTCGGARAAGTAGAAGAAGTCTGGTGGGGTCTCCTGCTCCCGGGTCTGCCTGCAGGGGGGCACAGAAGAATGTGTTTGGTTAGCTGATGCTGCTGGAGCTGCTCAGCAAAGCTTTGACCCTTACGATGTGTCGAAAATCAAATGAAGATTCAATTAAACTTCTAAAAACTGGTAATAACTGTTTTAGTCAAACTTTGTAAATGGTGTTATGCGTGATCTCCTGCAGTGTTGTGAGAGCTTTTAGTAAGTGTTGGGAATAATGCTCAGCTACTACCACACCAAATTTAAGCTCAATTTCTGTAAAAAAAAAGGTTGAGTTAGAGACATTGGGCCTCATGCAAGAACCGTTCATA